AAAAAAAAAAAAAAAAAAAAAGCTAGAAGTGTGACATATGTGCCATGTCGTTGGGGAAGATCCCCTTTCATAGTGATTTGGTTTCTTATTCACGTGAATGGTTTGAGACGGCTGCCCTAGCTCCTATGAAATAGACCAAAAGAAAACAATTTGAAAGGGGTCCTCTTTAAAGCAAAGTTGCTGCTTTCGGTTTAGATGGGGAATTTGCCTCAAGAAAAAAAGAGGATGAGAAGAATGAGAGGTGCCAGTCACAGAGAAAGAGGGAAAGAAAAAAATTGTCTCGTAGTTGTGAATGAGACCAAACAAAATAGAGCGAAGAAAACTAAAAAAGAAAAAGAAAGCAAAGCAATAATAAAAAAAGATGTTTTTTGGGGCACGATGGGTCAATCCGTACATATTTTTCACGCTGAGCTGTTATTTATGAAGAGTTTTATCACCATAGTTACATAATCGAAAGTTTTATCAAGCTTCATTGTCAACCACAGTCCCGGCATCTACACTGATGTAATCCGGGCAAATCTTGCTCAACTCCGACAAAACTACTTCCAACAAAATCGAAGAGCTGTGCAAACAGACCCGACAAGCACTCCATTTTTAAGTTCAAGTCGGACACTTCACCTCAGCTTTTTAGTATGCCAACTTGAGGGGCAGTATAGAGATAAAATAGGATCCAAAGAAATCAATCACTACAATCTGGATAAGATGGGTTGGGTTGAGGATAAACATGAAAGTTTTATCTTATTATCTTTTATATTTTTTCACCCAGTAAATAGGGATGAATTTTTCTTATTCAATCATCAATAAATAATACATCAATACATCTGACATTTAGTCCGTGGATGTAGGCATTTAGTGTTGAATCACGTATATCATGTGTTCATTTCATATCCCTAATCTCTGTCATTCCCAAATTCTACAATGTTTACCTTGACCACAAAAGTTCTCACTCTCAAATCATTAGTTCAATCAACAAATGTGAAATTTATAATATTTATTTCAATTTCATCTTGAGTACCCGAAGCCAGTATTGTATAACTCTATAGAAGTAGTTGTTAATAACATAAAAAGTTCGACCAAACTCTAGTTTCTTGATGGGCAGGCCATGGACCTCGTTTTTTCTTGCCACCCAGTCGTGGCTCATTGATTGACGTTCTAACCAACGACCAAGTACCACCCATCGACTGATGCGCAAAGCTGACCCGATCTAATGCTAACCCTCAAAAGAGTTGAAAACAAGTTTTGGCAAAAAACAAAAAAAAAAATCTTACAAGAAGCCCCAAAATAAGGAGAACAACAATAGGAAGCAATAACAACCCATTTCCAAGGTTGGTTTAACTTGAAATCTAACAAATGGCGTTTTTCCCACTTAAAATATTTTTAAAACTTTCTATTTGTTCTTTTCAACTACTTATTATAAAGGCGCAAAAATTGAAAGACCTAGAACCGGAACAACTTAACGCTTTGTAGCCAAATATTCTCTTATTCCTACGAACATGAGGATACGATAAAATTAAAAAATGTAAGACACTAGTACGGCAAAGATATGTCTGTTAAAATAATATAATATATTTTTTAAATAATAATAGAGTTGTAATATATTAAAAATTAAGAATATATTATAACAACATTAATAATACAACCTAACAAATATTAATTTTTTGATTAAAATTGAAATAAATCAAAATAAATATTCATCATTTTCATCAAACATCATTACATCAATTGACATTCATAGTATATAAGTTACATAAGAAAAATTATATTTAAAAAAAAATTTAAATAACTCCTCTTTTAATAGTCAACAGTTTTAAAAAAAAAAAAATATGTCGTATCATAGTCGTGTCCTAGACGTATCATGACCGTGTCTTAATTGTGTCTGATTAAGTTCACTATTCATGGCAATTCTAGCCATATCGGACACATGTCCGTGTCTGACACTACCACGGCACCCCTCTGGGAAGTATTCGTATTTCCTAGTTTCTTTCTAGCTTTCTCCTACTCTTATGCAAGCAAAAATATAAAAAATATCGAGCCTTTAATTATTTTCCATACCCAAGCCTACGTACGCTTGTGCGGACTACACCAAATAATGAGGCTTATACCAAATACTTAGGGTAAGGCTCAGTTAATTGAGTTCTAGATTAAGTATAGATGTCCTCTATGATAAAGGTTGATACAAAACAAATTCAACTCATATCAAAAAAGAAACATAGCCAAAATGATAAGAGAAGTTACATTTCCACCAAAGGTGGACAAGTCATCCAACCCTAACGTAGGTGAAAGTAACCACATAGTACAAACATAACAATGAAAATCAACCATACTTGCAGTGTTAACTATGCATAGGAGTATGTCACCCTTTCTATTTTCTCTAGTGGTATATGGATTGAGTAGACTTATGCAAAAAGCACAAGGGACCAATTTGGGCGATGGTTTTGGGATAGAGAATGAAAAGGTGGAAGTGTCTTACTTATAACTTGTTGACAATACTATCTTCTTTTCTTCGAGAGATAAAGAAAAATTCAAAAATTTACAGTTGATTGTGAATGTTTTTGGGTAATTTCTGGGCTTAAGGTCAATATAGAAAAGAGCATAATATTGAATATAAATTCTCACCAAGAGAAGACATATTGACCATTAAAGTATTTGGGTCACCCCTTAGGTGACAATTCAATGTCTAAGCCTTTTTGGCACTCTGTTATTGAGAAGATTGGGAGAAGATTATATGGGTTGAAGAAAGTTTTTATTTCTAGAGGAGGCACAATAACATTTGTTCAATCAGTTTTGGCTAGGATACCCATTTATTTCATGTCTCTTTTTAAAATGTCTTACTCTGTTGCAAGGAAAATGGAATGTTTGACATAGAATTTCTTATGGAAAGGGTGGGGGAGAGTAGGAAAGACAACTTGTTTTGTTGGGATGTTATGTCGAGGCCTAAATCTAAAGGTGGTCTTTTGATTGAGAATTTGTTGAAAACAAATATAGCTTTGATTGAAAAATGCCTTTGGAGATTTCCATTGGAGCAAAGATTCATTGTGACACTTGGTTATTAGGAGCAAATATGGATTCTATGCTAATGGAATTTTTTATTAGAAACAAATATTTCATTAATAGTGAAATATAGAACATAAAGGTGAACAAGAAGTCTACCCTACAATAAAGTTGGGTACAATATTCAATTCTAAAAATCAAAGAGGTGTTCATCTAACTACACGCTGCCTTCCAATCAATTGTAAGAGAAAAACGACACATCCTTAAATTCTTTGGTAGTTGATGCCCATAGGGAAGCCAAGAACTTAACTCTCTCCCAAAGGAACTTCACAAATTCCTCCTTCTCTTCGAAAATTATCGTATTTCTTTCCATCCATGCCACCCAAAAGGTTGTCATAACCACACATTCCAACAAAATAGATTTTCTTCTCTCATTCTCATACACACTTCTATTTCTTTCGAACAATGAAACTCATTCTTTTGGAATGACCTAGCTCAAGTTAAATTCACTATAAAGCTCAAAACCACAACATTAAAGCAACCGGACAATGTAGAAAGAGATAATCTGCACTTTCACTACAACACTTAGCACATTATGCACCATGAGGGGTAAGACAAGAATGTGGTCTTCTTTGCAACAAATCCCAAGTGCTAGCTTTCCATGAGCTATAGCCTAAGCAAAAACCTGAATCTTCACTGGCACTTCGGCCTTCCAAATCATTTTATGAGGTTCAAACGAAGGAATTGACTGGTCATTAATCAAAGTATAGAAGTGCAATTTGCAAGAAAAGCCCCTAGATGAGTCAAGAATCCAAATTATTTTATCCCCAGCCCTTAGCATTAAGGAAACCAATGAAAGTATAGACAACAAATATGAGACCTCAATTAATTCCCCATCATTCCAAGCTGTAAAGAAATTAAAATTCCAACCCTCTTGACTTGAAGAATCACAATGCATATTAGCAATTGAGGCTTCTTAAGACATAGTCAACTAAACGGACACTGAAAATGAAAAATCCAAGGTAGGATGTTAATGGGATTGAAAAGGTAGTTTTCGAAGCTCATTCAAGATTATTTCTCAAGGTTACCTTACTTTTCTGAAATGGTTAAATTCACCGTAAAAGATTGGATAAGAGTTTGCTTTTTTGGGAGGACTTTTGGGTTTCTTTCTCTAGTATGTTTCCTCGTCTTTATCGGTTATCTAGTGTTAATGGTCATTCGATTGTATCTGTTGTTAAGTCTTACACTTACCATGTCTCTGAGGATTTTAGATTTCGTAGGAATCTTAATGACGAAGGATGTTCAGAGTTATTGATGTTCCTCTCTATGCTTAATAGTGTTTGCATAACACAAGATCGACCGAATAAAAGATGTTGGACTATTGATCCAACGAGTGTATTTCCATGCAAATCCTAGGAATAATGTGCCTTTAAAGGGTACAAATTTGTGCATGGTTGATCACACACGGTAAGGTCAACACTAATGATATGATTCAAAGAAGGAGACCTAAGACTTGTCTTCTCCTGAAATGGTGTATTATGTGTAAAGATGGCGATGACACTATGGATCATTTATTTTTATATTGTCCCATGGTGCTCTCACTTTGGAACAAGTTGTTTAATTTAATGGGACTTTGTTGGGTGGCGCCAAGATTCATGTCATCAATGCTTTGTTTGGATGTTTTTGGGTTGAGGAGCAAACAGGAAGATGAAAACCCTTTGGCATTGTATTTTTTTTTCTACTATTTGAGTCATTTGCTTGAATCAGAATGTAAGGAAGATGAAAACCCTTTGGGACTGGATGTATTTCTTGGCTTCATTTTAGGCATTGATAACTAAGGAGTTTGCGAGAATTCCTTGTTTTTGTATTACTACGAACTGGCCAGCTTCATGTGGAGTGTAGTATGATTGATTTTCTTTGTTATGTTTTTGCGCGGTTGCTTTCACCTACCTTAGGGTTGGATGACTTATTCACCTTTGATAGGAGCTGTAACTTCTCTTATTGCTTTGGTTATTAATGAAGTTTACTATTTCATATTGAAAAAAATAAGAAACATAGGAGTATTTGCTGCACACTTGCAGTGTTAACTATGCATGATGATTACCTTTGGCCCATGCTACAAATAATTGGACCTCTCGGGATCAACCCAGCACCAATATATACCACGAGAACATGCCATGCCCACTGAGAAGGATAGAGCATGCTGAATATAATACATTATGCTTAGTTTTTTCTTTTTCATGACTATCCTAGACACACTCGTGCAAATAAAGGGTAATGCCGGTATTTCCAGTGATTTTGTGTATGACAAGCAACGAGTAGGCTAACATGCCTATGAAAATCTAGCCCATAAGTTTGACATCCATCTATGATGTCATCACCATGTAAAGACATCACAGTGCATGCACACATGTTCCCAAAATTAGAAAATGATTGAGAAGTGGGAATAGAGACACATCTTACCATGAAGAGCTTCATCCAGGCTACCACCAGGTAAGAAATCATAAATTAATAATTTCGACATTGGAGAATTACAGTATCCTCGCAGATTCACCAAGTATCGGTGTTTAATGCTTCCAAGAATTTCAAGCTCCCTTTCAAAGAACCGATCAAAGCCCTCATTCATCTTCACAATTCTTTTCAAGGCAAATACATTGCCGTCATCCATAGCAAGCTTGTATACTGTTCCAAAGCCCCCAGAACCAATAATGTGTTCTTCATTCAAGGTCTCCAATTTCTTAATGATATCCTTTGAAGTGTATGGCAAATCTCCATGAAACATCACAATTGATGCACCTGAAGCAGCAAGAATTCAAACAGAAAAAAAGATACATTTGAATCAAGGAATTCATGAAAACATAATTTTACAGGAATATTACCACCAAAATTGAATCATAAATTTATGCAGTAGCTACTAGAACAGTACCTCCACTGACATCCATTGCAAGACTTCCACCCTCATGTTTACCAAGTTTCTTATACAGGAAACAGCCCCAGAAACACATTAGTGCTACCAGAAGTAGTGCACCCATAGTAGCAGATGCGCTTATAAGTAGCCGTCCAGAATTCTTTTTATTCCCTTGGTTTGGAGCTTTAAAATAACAGAAGAAACAGCTATATAAGACCTCACCATACAAAATGGAAAGAGAGAGAGAGAGAGATGCAAGTTATCCATTGCTCAAACCCAACAAGAACAATAACGTTAGAAACAAGGCAATCCAAAATTTGAGTTCAACTAGAACTTATGCTTTACAGTCATGTTCTATGATGCATGGATACTTCACCAAGACCGGAGTTTCTGAATTCGTTAAGTATAAACTATGTATACGCACGGATTCGAGTACACCTGGAACAATTTAAAAGCTATTTAATTTTAGATACTTTTGGGAGCCGAGGATAAGTGACCGATACGCCTAAGATACATGGAGATATGCCAAAATCTAAGCGGCCGATATGTTTAGGATTCACCAGAGCTAAAGATATGATTTTTTAATTGTCAAAATGGTCCATCAAAGCGATTAATTGAAACAAATGAAATATGTATTTCCAACATATGGGAGTTTATCTGCAAGTGAAAAAAAAATATTTTGGCCCCAAAATGATTGCGCATGTTACTTATTGAACAAACTCCTGTTATAAGATGTCAATATTCTCAAATCTACGATTTGACTCATTTAGAAAGTGAAAGCAAAAAACCAAGTAGAGTATCTTATAGTGATGTCATATATACTTGATGTTTAGATGGGTTGTCCATTGAAATACCTACATAATGAACTTTATATTTGCCTTGGTCAATCAAGCTTTACCGCATTTTTCAATTTTTCTTATACTACCTATAACAATAGAAATAGATTTACTTGCATGAATATTAATGTCTTGAATTATATACCTATAAAAATTGGTATCAAGTCTTATACAATATGCAAAATAAATCAACTGTATATTTATTGGTGTATCTTCCCATACTCCGTATCCGTATCCAATATTTTGCAAACCGCTATATCTATAACCTACCGTACCCATATCCATATCCATTCTTCCTACGTCATATTCCATGTAGTTATAACGCCATAGGAGATTATCGCATTGAAAAATGTGTGCTTTATTATGACTGTTCTTTTTTTTTACTCCACTTATGGTAATGCCTGCAAAGCATAAGTTTGCATTTCAAAAAGAGTAAATAGAAGATAACGAGAATTCGGTTAATGATAAAAAGTTAAGCCCTTCATATATACTCACTATACCCAAGCATTATACTAAACAATTTGGATGTTGAATTCACCTCAGGAGCTACTGAACTTTATTGGGCAGATTAAACAGGAAAAACTCACTGGAAATTACACCAAAAAAATCGAGTTTCTCTGGATTTTCTCCCAGATCAATGAAACTGCTGCATTGGAGATGACATTATCATGCAGTAGCAATGTCAAATTCCTCTACACTTTCCCCCTTCACTCTATCCTTTTAATTCAACACCTCATAGTCACACACAGGCTTTACATGTTCACCTGCCCCCTGCAAATTCGCATGGACAACCCCTGGGGCTGCCACCACCTACTTCCTTTTTACAACAGTTTTTTTTTGTTTCATTTTTTTTTGTTGTATTCAACACTTTTTCTACACTAGACTATTCTAGAAAAGTCTCCAATAGTCCTCATCGGCCCACTATTATACAATCTGAAACCTACTGGAAACTCCACGAAGTTTGATGACAAGTTACCCATATTTACAGTTTTTGCCCCATAATACCATAATTTCCTGTAAATATATTTTTGCTCCGACCATAACTTTATAATTTCTAGCTTAAACCCAACTGTACTTACCACACGTCGTAAGCACACGCACGATGGCAAGCTAAAAAACACAATCCATCCCCATATGCAACACAGTTAAGCAACATATAATACAAACACCATACAGGCAAAACCATCACAATGCCTCCACAGAGACAATCTCACCATGCAGCCAATCCCCCATGGAAACAAACAACCACCAAAAAGCCATATGTATTCACGACCAAGGTTAAAATATGCCACTAAGGCTTGACATCTGCCACAAAGTTTGTTAACATGCTGCTAAGGCCATATATCTTAGCCTTGAATCACAGCCCACCCACATGAATAAAATAGGTGGATACAGGTGAGCAACTAAACGAATTGACCTTTCTTCAACCATTCAAGCCAAATCCTAATCCCTTTCCGCCTTACCAATGTTGATAACCAAGTCTAAGATTGATCACAGAGTACTCATACACCTACCATGTTCTAGTGCACAAGCATAGTCTGGGACAAACCCATTAACCACTCATCATGATTTCCACTTTGTGCAACAATGCAGGCATTTGATTGCAAGATGAAGAGCAAAAGACGCATTGGTCTATCAGGCCTTAATTAATGAGAACAAAAAGATAGTATCAAACAGTACATAAACGCCAAACCCATTTCGATGCCACCTTAGCATCCAGAATTACACCAAAATTTTTGATTGCATTAATTGGTAACAGCTAAACATGAGAAAAACATAATTTCTACCTCATATGCATACCACATCCAATGCCATGCATTCACAAAACTTCCAAACGTGGACAGACTTTATATCTAACTGAAACTTTCTCCACATCGCCAAATACCATGTAAGGTAACAAGGGTACTACTATGTTGACAAAAAAAAAAAAACCTAGTTTTAGCAGCTAATTGGATCAGCTCAATGCAGAAGAAAGCATTCAGGATGCTGACACATCTTTACTAATGCCCATAGGCAATATCCACAACTTCATCTGCATACTCAGAGCACATACACTAATCTACTGCTTATATCAAGAAAGTAATATATATGTCGGGATTGATATCACCAATAGCCAATAGGTCACTTGTACGATTGGCAAAGCACGAGAATCCCACTCCACCACCCAAAAGACTTTTGATAAGACGCTCTGGTAGGCCCAACAACCAAACTGGTCAACTACACTGCGGTTGAGATCAACATGGCGACAGGTCGACTACCTTGTTTAAGTATTGAAGAAATGTTTTTTCTTTGCCATCCAGACAGCACCAACCTACCCAACACATGATTATTCACTATTCATGCTATTGACATTTCATGTGAAAGACAATAATTTACACTAATATTGACTTGGGGAAATATTCGGCACGTGAGGGTGCCTGCTATAAGCATCCATAGTACACCAAGCTGCGCCACAGCAGAGGACTGTCCTTACAACCTTCTAGCAATTCGGCTACGAAGTGTCAAAACTCAGAAAAAAGAGACCCAACCTCTAAAATACCCTTTGCAAAAAGATTCTAATCTACTAACTAATGATTTTAACATAATGGAAATAATCTATGAAGCAAGTGAAATTTTAAATACAATATTTAATTAATTTAAAAGCAAAAGAAGTTCATGCTGTAACCATACAGAAATCTCAGTCAAAAGGTTCAATGATTTGAACCGAATACTAATCCATTTGATGACGAGATGTTCTACCCACTCTACACTAGTCGTACGAACCCAAAACCCAAATATCCAGTTTCAATAACAAGAATCCCCTAATTTATTATCCAGTTGAGAAACAAGCCTGCAACTAACTGCAAGTTAAGCATAGAAACCAAAGAACTAACACCCACTTACCTATAGCCAAAGCAGCCTACAGGACCAGACTCAAGCTCTGACACCTCTTTGTCACACCCCAATAGTTCCCCTCCATTTCTCTTTGGTTAGGTTTAGCATCTATACGCAGACATCCCCAAAATAAACAGTTTCAGGAAGTGGGAAAAACACTATATTTACTCCCAGCCTGTGGCATGTATCATGTCTCATTGATCTCAGCTAAAAGACATGGACCCACCACTTCCTTTCTTTTTCTTCTTGTTCTTTTTTTTCTTTTTCTTTTTTGTTNTATTTACTCCCAGCCTGTGGCATGTATCATGTCTCATTGATCTCAGCTAAAAGACATAGACCCACCACTTCCTTTCTTTTTCTTCTTGTTCTTTTTTTTCTTTTTCTTTTTTGTTGCTCTGCTTCCGTTCAATAACTCATACATAAGCTTTACACGTACACCTCACCCCTGCAGATTTACATGGACAAACCCTTTACAACTGCCACAACCAACTTGCATTTTACAACTTTACTTTTTGTCTAATCTTTTTTGTTATATTCAAAACTTTCTACACAAGAATATTCTAGAGAGGTCTCCAATAGTCTTTTATCAAAGCACTGCTATACAATCTGAAACCTACTGGAAGCTCCACAAAGTTTGATGACAAGTTACCCATATTTACAGTTTTTCCCCATAACTGTTTGTAATCAAATTTTGGCCCTATAGTTTCTAGCTTAATCCCAAATGTAGTTAACACATCGATGTTTATGATTTCCCAGCACAGGGACATTAAACCCTGCCAAGAGTGCCCTTTAAATATCTAAAAATGCAACATACAACTTCACAATATTTTTGTTTGTCTCTGCAAAAATTGACGAATGGACAACTAAAACACTAAAAGTAACAGTTGAGTCGTATCACTATCGGATAAATTAACTTTCTCACAAGTCTACTATCAACCCGGATCTTTAAAGTCTTCTCCTTCATCTCTATTGAACTTGTAGTACATTTGGCTTCCACCAGTCCAGTGTTATTTAAGGCGTAAAGTGAACCAAAGCGACCAAACCTCCTAACGCCTAGGCGAGAAGCGAGAAGCGAAGCAACACGCTTTATCGAAGCAAAGCGAACAGTTAAAAAATATATATATTTTATTTTAATTACTTCTAAACAATCTAAATTCTAATTTTATATATATTAAATATTTAAATGCAAGCAAAACCATAAACATTTAAATTAAAACAAACACTAATAATATCTCAAATCTTAATAACAGTCATAACTTAAACATTTAAATTTAAACAAATACTAACTATTGTATACATTTTCATATTGACAGGGTAGGACAACAAAAGAAGCAGAATTAGGACAGCAGCAGAATCAACAACAAAAAAAAAAAAAAGCAGAATGAGGATAAAAAAAAATAGAAGCAGCACAGGA